CAAATATTGATGGCCACAAAGGGAGAGATGGACAGTAACAGTAAAACTAGGGGATTTTAATACCCCACTGACTTCCATGGATAGATCATCCAAACAGAAACTCAACAAAGTAACAGCAGCCCTTAATGACATATTAGAGCAGATGAATTTAACTGATATTTTTAGAACATTTCACCCCAAAGCAGGAGAATATAAATCTTTTCAAAAGTACATGGAACATTTTCTAGAATAGAACATGTTAGGTCACAAAGCAAGGCTCAATCAATTTTAAAAAACTGAAATAATATCAAGTATCTTCCATCACAATGGTATGAAACTGGAAATCAATTACAAGGAAAAAACTAAAAAATACACCAACACATGAAGGCAACATAACATACTACTTAACAATGAATGGGTTAACAATGAGATCAAGAAGAAATCAAAAGATACCTTGAGACAAATGAAAATGAAAACATAACCACTGAAATCTATGGGACACAGCCAAAGCAGAGCAATAGCAATACAGACCTACCTCAAGAAACAAGATAAGGCTCAAATAAGCAAGCTAACCATATACCTTAAAAACTAGAAAAAGAACAAACAAAGCCAAAGTGAGTAGAAATTGATAAACTTTCAAAAAAGAAAAAAAAAAGACAAGGACCCAAATAAAACCAGAAATGGAAGAAAACTGACAATCCACACTGAAATACAAAAAATTATAAAAAAATACTATGAATAATTATTGCCAATATAATGGACAACTTGGAAGAAATGGATATATTCCTAGAAACATGCAATCATCCAAGACTAAATCAAGAAAAAACAGAAAATCCAAACAAGTCGATAACAACTAATGAAACCAAATCTCTAATCGAAACACTTCCATCAAACAAAAGCCTAAACTAGATAGATGCCTTCACAGGCGAATTTTACAAACTATGCAAAATTTTACCTATTCTCCTTAAACCATTTCAAAACACTAAAGAGGAAGGCAGGCTCCCAAGCTTACTTTAAGAAGCCAGGATTAGCCCTGGCTGGTGTAGCTCAGTGGATTGAGCACGGGCCTGCGAACCAGACAATCGTGGTTCGATTCCCAGTCAGGGCACACGCCTGGGTTGCAGGCCAATTCCCAGCAGGGGACGCACAAAAGGCAATCATACATTGATGTTTCTCTCCCTCTCTCCTTCCCCCCTTCCCCTCTAAAGATAAATAAATAAAATCTTAAAAAAGAAGAAGTAAAAAAAATATTAGTTAAATGAGTTCAGCAATACACTAAAAAAAAAAAATCAAACACCACAATCACATGGGCTCACCTGGGCTTTATCCTTGGGATGCAACATTGGTATTGACTTGGCCAAAAAGTTTATTTTTTTCTGTACAATGGCTCCAGTAGTGCTTAAGTAAGCACTTTAACTTCATTTGAAACATTGTTAGATTGTATTGTGACAACTGTCATTATCAACATGCACTTAAAAAAAAACCCTTATCAAAATTGGTGAATTTTTATGTAGCTATTTTAATATTTAAGATGAAAGAAGATATGCAACATTTTCAGTGTATTATGCTTTATTATTTCAAGAAAGGTAAGACACACACACAAAAAAGATTTGTGCAGTGTGTGGAGAAGGTGCTGTGACTGATCAAATGTTTCAAAGCGGTTTGTGAAGTTTCTTGGTACTATTGACTTTTTGGCCAAGTAATTCTTTGCTGTGGGACTGTCTTATGCATTAAAAGATATTTAACAGCACCTCTGGCCTCTACCCACTAGAAGCCAATACTGGGAGATAGGTGACATACTCAAGATATCCAAATCAATAAACTTATTGGTGAAAATGATAAATGTGTTTTTTATTTTACAGAAAAAAAATGAACTTTTTGGCCAACCCAATACAATATCTGTAAGTCAATTAACATTATATACCATATAAACAAACTGAAGAATAAAAAATCACATTATAGTATCAATAGATGCAGAAATAGCATTTGACAAAATCCAGCATCCATTTATGATAAAAACTCTCAGCCAGTGGGAATGGAGGTAACAAACCACAGCATAATTACATCACCCAAGATTAAACAGGAGAGACTCTTAAAAGCATCAAGAGAAAAGAAGAGAGTTACTGACAAATGAGTTCCCATAAGACTATCAGCTGATTTCTCAAAAAGAAAAAAAACCTTACAGGCAAGAAGGGGCTAGAAAGAAGTATTCCAAGTCATAAAAGGCAAGGACCTACATCCAAGATTGCTCTATCCAGCAAAGCTATCATTTAGAATGGAAGGGCAGATAGATTGCTTTCCAGATAAGATCAAGTTAAAGGAGTTCATCATCACTAAGCCCTTATTATATGAAATGTTAAAGGCACTTATCTAAAAGAAGATAAAAATATAAACAGTAAAATGACAACAAACTCACAACTATCAACAGCTGAACCTCAAAAATCAAAACCAAAAACATGCCCTGGCTGGTGTGGCTCAGTGGACTGAGTGCCAGCTTGAGAACCGAAAGGTTGCTGGTTTGATTCCTAGTCAGGACACGTGCCTGGGTTGCGGGCCAGGTCCCCAGCTGGGATGTGAGAGAATCTGATGTTTCTCTCCTACTCTTTCTCCCTTCCTTCCCCTTTCTCTCTCTAAAAATAAATAAATAAAATCTTAAAAAACAAACACTAAGCAAACAACTAGAACAGGAACAGAATCAGAAAGATTGAGATAACACAGAAGGTTATCAGTGGAGAGGGGATGGGGGGAGAATGGGGGAAAAGGTACAGGAAATAAGAAGCATAAATGGTAGGTACAAAATAGGAGGGTAAGAATAGCATAGGTAATGGCGAAGCCAAAGAACTTATATATATGACCCATGGACATGAACTATGAACTAAGAGGGGAGGGAATGCTGGAGGGGATGGGGGTAATAGGCAGAGGGGCATAAAAAGGAGAAAGAAAAGAATGGGATGACTGTAATAGCAAAATCAAAATATACTTAAAAATAATATTATAATAACTACATATATTGTCTGGTGGGTAACAGACTTATTAGTGATGTCTTTGTTAAATTATATAAATGACTAATCACTATGCTGCATACCTGAAACTAATACAATATTGTATGTGAATGGCAATTGAAATATTTTTTAAGAAAAAGAAAAGAGATGGATGAAAATGTTTTTGGAAGTACTATACACTAAATTTACTTGAATAGTTCATACATGTACTTAATTTTATATTTATTTAATCATTAAGAGCTAAACTGGATACTTCATTTTCATTACACTTTGCAACATCTCATGGAAGACATTAGATGATGGAGTGTATTTGTAGATTTGGAGAATCAAAAGACCTTTGGAATTTTTCAGAATGTCAATCATGTTTTATCTGTTTAATCATCCTCAATGTCACAGAAAACAAAGGTAGAGAGACAAGTTACTTGGATCATAAAACTATTATTTGTGATCTCCTATAGGAACAAATAGGCATCATTCTATTAATTATGCAAATAGTTGGACTATTTTTCATCTATACTTGGGAGATTTGCCAAAATACCAGTAATAGTATTCAGATATAATGCTTTATAGGTACTTTCATAAAAAAACATCAATCCACCCTGGCCAGGGTGGCTCAGTGGTTGGAGCATTGTCCTGTAAACTGAAAGGTCACATGTTCAATTCCTGGTCAGGGCACATGCCTAGATTAGAGGTTCCAAGAGGTTCCTAGATTAGAGGTTCCTAGAGGTTCCTAGATTAGAGGTGCCCCCTGGGGCACATATGGCAGGCAACCTATCAATGTTTCTCTGTCACATTGATGTTTCTTTCTCTTTCCGTCTATCCACCCCCTGCACTTCCTTTCTCTTTCTCAAATCAAGAAGCATGTCCTCAAGTGAGGATAAAAAGAAACATCAATCCAATGTATTGAGACTATGAAAATCCAAATACAAGTAAATATGTATCACAGTATATAATGGAATCATGTTTATGTACTAGGACCTCTGTGTAAAATCTTCCAATGACCTGAAAAATAGTCTATGAGCCAAAGTAGAAATGAGTTACTCAACCACATGTGACATTTGGCTAGTTAATATTTTAAAAACACCTGTTTTTTTTTCATTTTTTGATTTCTGTGAAACTGTGAAAGTAATTAAATTCATTTCATGTATAGCATGTCCCATGCTCTTCTGATGTTGAATATATGCTATTATAAAAGCAGTAGCTGGTGATTTCAATATCATTACAAGATTTACCTTCCTAGAATTATATAAGTGTATTTCAGTCACATTAGTGGCTATATTTATAAATCCTGATGAAGAAGAGATTATTATATATACTTTAATTATAGCTATGATATAAAATTAAGGATATTGAGATTATAAATTTATCTTACTTTTGATAATAGGTTTATTTGTATTGAAAAACTGAAATTTGTATAACTTTGATTACTTGGAAATAAGGACTGTTTGAATTCTACTTGTTTGAATTTCCAGTACTGAGTTCAGTATATTGATAAAATCAGAGCTTGTTCTTATTGCTCTTTTAAGGTCTTTTACATTTTTTCATGGACATGAGCTGGTTGTACTGTGTCATTTAGGGCAGGGATAGGAGTTGGGGCAGAAGAGAAGGGTAGATGCAAGCAAGAAGTTTCAACAGTATGAGTAATTTTCTTTCTTAACGTGGATGGTGGATATGCAGGTGTTCATTGTATTTATTTTCTTATACCTCTTTGCATAATTCATTTTAAAAATAAAACAGTAAAAACTAAGTATAATATTCACAGCTTTATTTTGTTTCACAGACTGGCAAATACTAGATCATTTACTTTAATATACCTCACCAACAGTGCAGAGAGAAATGTGTTGGGAAAGCCTAACGAAAGTTGAAATCAACCCCTCTGCCCTCTCTGATGGTTTTTCTTCTCAATGAAGTCTGTGTTAGAAATTAAACACTATTTTAATTGCAAGTGTTACTGCAGCAGAATAGATTGGTTTAACAGCAGCAACATGCCACACCTCCAAGTTCCACTGAGTAAATTACCTCAATTTCCTGTAACTGCTCCTGATTGGTTGTATACATCTGCTGAAGAGAATCCTCCAACTCTGTGTTCCGATCCAGTAACGTCTTCCCAAGCTCAGCAGCAAGCTGGAGATCTAGAACAAGTGAAGAATGCAAATGATTTCACTTCAACATTTTATGTAACCTGGTCCTTAAAATATAAATGAACCAAGAGCCAACCCAACACAGAAAGTTTAAGTCACTTCTGGCTAAGATGGAGGCGTAGGCAGACACACCATGCCTCCTCCCACAACCAAAATAAGGACAACAACAATTTAGAAACAAAATAACAACCAGAACTGACAGAAAACTGAACTATATGGAAGTCTGACAACCAAGGAGTTAAAATAGACACATTCATCCATATCCGTAAGAGGGATGGAGTTGGGCAGCCGGGTGGAAGGGAGTTGTGGCAAAAAAAGTGGTGGCACTGGGGCTTGCAAGGCAGCAGCTGACAAACCCCAGGTATGTAACACAGCAGTGGGTGGACCCTGGGCATGCAGCCAGTGGGTGGCAGGCCCCCGTCGCAGGATGGCAACAGGCAGACCCAGTGAGGTGGCAATTATGAAGCAGGGCATGGTGCTCAAGGTGGCTGGCTGACCTGGCAGTCCCACATACGATTGCAGATAAACCAGGCAGGCAAAACTGGGGAGCGAGACAGACTGCACAACCCAAGGTCCCAGTGTGAGGAAATAAAGCCTCAAGACACCAACTGAAAACACCTGTGGGGGTTGAGGTGCAGGGAGAGACTATCAGCCTCACAAGAGAGTTCACTGGCGAGACCCACAAGGTCTTAGAATATACACAAGTCCACCCGCATGGGAATCAGCACCAGAAGGGCCCAGTTTGCTTGAGGGAAGCAGTAGAAGGGACTGAAATCTGACAGAGAGTGGAGCAAGGACCATTGTTCCCTCTCAGACCCCAGCCCCACATATAGCATCACAACTCTGCAACTAGCTTACCCTGCCCAGTTGAACATCTAAGGCTCCACCCCTCACACGTAAGAGGTGTGCTGAGACAAAAAAAAAAAAAAAATTGGTCCAAATAAAAGAACAGATCAAAGCTCCATAGCAAATACAACTAAGGGACAAAGAGACAGCCAGCCTATCAGACGCACAGTTCAAAGCACTGTTGATCAGGATGCTCACAGAATTGGTTGAATTTGGTTGCAAATTAGATGAAAATATGAAGACTTCACTAAGTGAAATGAAGCAAAATGCACAGGGAACCAACAGTGATGGGAAGAAAACTGGGACTCAGATCAATGGAGTGGAACGCAAGGAAGAAAGAAACATCCAACCAGAAAAGAATGAAGAAATAAGAATTCAAAAAAATGAGGAGAGGCTTAGAAACCTCCAGGACATCTTTAAGTGTTCCAACATCCGAATTACAGGGGTACCAGAAGGGGAAGAGGAAGAGCAACAAGTGGAAAAGTTATTTGAACAAATAATAAAGGAAAACTTTTCCAATCTGGCAAAGGAAATAGACTTCCAGAAAATCCAGGAAGCTCAGAGAGTCCCAAAGAAGTTGGACCCAAGGAGGAACACGCCAAGGCACATCATCATTACATTAGCCAAGATTAAAATGAAGGAGAGAATCCTAGAAGTAGCAAGAGAAAAGAAGACAGTTACCTACAAAGGAGTTCCCACAAAACTGTCAGCTGATATAAAAATAAACTTGCAGGCAAGAAGGGGCTGGAAAGAAGTATTCAAAATCATGACAGTCAAGGACCACATCCAAGATTGCTCTATCCAGCAAAGTTTTCATTTACAATGAAAGGGCAGATAAAGTGCTTCCCAGATAAGGTCAAGTTAAAGTAGTTTATCATCACCAAGCCCTTACTATATGAAATGTTAAAGGGACTTATCAAAGAAAAAGAAGATAAAAAATATAAACAGTGAAAGGACAACAAACTCACAGTTATTAACAACCACATATAAAAGAAAAACAAAAACAAACTAAGCAGACAACTAGAACAGGAACAGAACCACAGAAATGGAGATCACATGGAGGAGTAGGAGGAGGAGAGAGAGGGAAAGGTACAGAGAATAAGTAGCATAGACAGTAGGTAGAAAATAGACAGGGGGAGGGCAAGAACAGTATGGGAAATGTAGAAGCTAAAGAACTTGTGACACATGGACATGAACTAAATGGGGGGAATGTGGGTGGGAGAGGGCGTGCAGGGTGGAGGGAAATGAAGGGGGGAAAATGGGACAACTGTAATAGCATAATCAATAAAATATATTTTTTTAAAAAGAAAGTTTAGCCCTGGCTGGTGTAGCTCAGTGGATTGAGCGCAGGCCTGCGAAGCACACGATCACGGTTTGATTCCCAGTCAGGGCACATGCCTGGGTTGCAGGCCAGTTCCCAGCAGGGGACTCACTAGAGGCAACCATACATTGGTATTTCTCTCCTTCTCTCCTTCCCTTCCCCTCTAAAGATAAATAAATAAAATCTTAAAAAAAAAAAAAGAAAGTTTAAGTCAGAGCCCTGAGGAAGATGGAATGGCCCAGTAGGAAACCTGAGTCCTACTTAAGATCCAGTTGAACTAGGGCCTCTACTTGGAATGTGCTGTCATATGTAGTACTTGTGAGACATGAAGGAGACTGATGTATTCCATGGAGATGTACTCATTAGTCCAGAAATGATCATTCAGCATTGTGACTTCTAAGATCATAATTATTTGCTAATGAACTGAATTTATTCATATCTTAATCATTTACTTTTTTTGGACAGAGCCTAGACCAAAGTACAGACAGATATTTAATAGTCTCTAAAGTTCCTAAAAAATCTGGCTGCTGTAAATGTGTTAATGTATTATTGCAACTGTCAAAGCAAAGTTTGTTTTTATAGGCCCTGGCCTCCAAAAGGGAATAAAAATTATTATGTCAAAAAATACATCTGTAATATGAACATTGCCCTAGGTCTCTCATTTTTACTACTCCTCTCATGCCCTTCTTCAAGATGAGCAAACCAGACAAGCAGCACAACGATAGTTTTTGAGGTAATGTCAGTAGCTCATACAATACTTTGAGGTAGCACAGAATCATATTTCTAATTTAAACCTCATTTTTCATCTCTCTTTAGGCATAAACACACATAAGACAAGATTTGTCTGTACACAAACCCAGAAACAAAAATTTAATGATACCAAAAATTATACTAGTTTTAACGTAGTTAACTGAAGTCACTATCTGCATAGTACACTTCATAGAGGTCCTTTAATATAGTAGGAAACACACTCAACTGAGTACAATATGGGGCTTTCAAGGGTCCTACACTTAGTATTCTTGTTTAGGGACAATATGATTGTAAAATCAAATGAAATAATACAGAAGGAAGTACTTTACAAACTAAGTTGCAATACAAAGGCAAAGAATCAATGTGTTTATTGCTAGGCACTCTGCTAAGCTTTGGCTACAGAATGGTAAATATAATGGATGAAGTTCCTGCTTTTCTAGACTAATGGTGAAGCCAGACAGCAAGCACATAGATAAACTTGCAAACTGATAAACACTCTTCATACATATATGCATTCATACATTCAATAATACCAGTGAGGAACACAGTGAGGAAATAACATGGAGTCACTAAGTCAAGCTGCTAAATTACTACAGTCAAGTAGGCTGAGGACTGAGGAAAAAAGATTCTGTTCTTTTTAAACCAGCCTAGGAACTTACACTTTCCACCTTTTCAGTCCTGAGTCAATGCCTGGATCTCACAACCTGATTACCCTGTGAAGGACTAAGGAAACAATGTTCACATATCCAGGCCACCTGACATCCATTATCCAGTTCACCAGCCATCAGAGGATGACCATTTTGGACCAATCCAAAGGCTAAGAATACAGGACTGATTTTTCTCAAGAATATATTTTTTACTGTAAGAACTCTTAGCTTTTCTTTCATCTTCAGAACATTCTAGGTATTGCCTAGTCATGTTTTCCACTTGTGAACCCTAAGACATTTAAATAAATCTTTATCATTTATTCTAGCAATGGGTCTACACTTCTTTAGTTCATTTGACACTAGGTACTATTCTGGACACTGAGGATGTAAGAACGAATTTAGCTAAAAAAATTCCCTGCCCTCATGGAGTTTATATTCTATTGGGAGAAATAGCATGGGAAAATATACGATAGCAGGGAGTGCTGAAGAGAAAAACTATACTCCCATTTGAAATAAATCAGTGTACTGTGGGTAGGTGTTAAAATACATTCTCTCATGATTTAAATATTAATAATGACTATTAATGTACTAAAGACTCCAGATAACAAGTCTATGAAATAACATTTTGTATTCAAAAGACACAGAACCTTTACAAACAGCTCAAATCATGTAAGAGACACTCGTCTTTATATGTTTTCAAGGTATTTAGCCCAGTTTTTCAGATGAGATAACTTTAAGCACAAAGGTGCTAACTGACCTGATCAAGTCTACACAAGACACAGGTAAAACAGAAACTCCTGTCACCAGGTTCTAACTCTCACTCTTATCACCATTCTCTACTTTATTATCCATATCTACACAGCTTTAAGACTATTGACAGGGGTGTCCACACATTTCTTTAAGGTAGAGAGTACTGATTTTCCTAGTTGAGGTACTTAATCTTTTTGCTTGTCTTCACAGATGGCAATAAGAAACTGGACTTGAGCTACCTGGCTTTTACTGCCTGCTCTGTCAAACAAAGTACATACAACTCTAGGCAAGTTAATATCTCGTTTCCATTAAGTGAAAATGGAACTATGTATAGCTAAAGATGTTCCAGAAATAATTATTTTGTACTCATAATGTATGTAATGTGTATACACAGTGCCACAAAGAAGCCACTACACCATTTTAAAGACAAAGCCTACAAACATGACCTAGACATTACTTAAATCTCACTTGGCCTGTTTTAAAGTTGAATAATTCATCACTGGGAATGACCAGAGACTCACCAAAGATGGTTTTAACTAGCAGTCAAAATCTGAATCAAGACTAACTTCAGACCACCCTTACCCACTTCCATCGTGTTATGGAACCACCTGTGCTACTTCATACACAGCCAGGAACAGCTCTCCCACTGCTTCAGAAAGAGGGATGCCAAGTAAAGCACTCTTCCAGTCAACAGCAACCAGAAAGAACTTGGGATTTGCCCTCTCTCAGCCCTTATTTCCAGTTAAACAAAGCCCAACCTTGCTCAGTAACCTCAAGCCTCAGGCCTCAGTCTCCTACATATTTCATAGGCTGTTTAGGATAGAAGTCTAGCAAGACAAGTTTCAACTACAAGAAAGTGCCTGTGAAGTCACACTGTATAAGAAGATATTACTTCATCTTAACATTAAGATGAAGTAATATCTTAAGGACAAGGGTCCTTTTTTGGTCCTTAAAAAAAGTTCATTTCCTGTCATGTAGTATATGACTTCCATAACCAAATGGAGCCAAAAGCTGGCAGTAAGCCCAAGAAGGTTTTCTAAATAATTAGTGGGGGTAATGGGAGAGTATTGAATGTTCTTTATTATTGTTTTTAAGTAAGGCACAAAAGAAAAGGAAACAAAACAGTTTTGAAGCCCTATGTACCTATTCATCTATTTTCCTATAAGCAATTTCATTAAGAGGTTGTCTTTTCTAAATCCTATTGAACTGGCCTAGGCATCACTAAAAATACTACAGATTTACTATGGGCTTGAGAACCACAACCTAGAAATACCTTCATGTTTAATATTCTGTCACTAATCAGCCTTTGCAAGTGATAATCCATTTTAACACTGTACTCTATTAGTTTTAAACAGACACTCCACTCAGCCCTATGCCTAGGCAGAAAAAAAATTAGCTCCAGCAGCCCTAGTAAATTTTTAGAAGGGTCTGTCTTCCAGAATTTGGAAAACTTTAGATTCCACTGCTATTATATTTTTCTTATTTTCCTCAGTTTTTTCAAAACTATGAGGACAATATATTCCCATGTTAGCTGTGGTCTATAGGCATAATTCAATATTATTAAGGCTGAAAGCTTTTCCTCTTACAAAGTCAAGTGTGTGATATGGTGATGCTTCTGTGTAACTCCTGTTGCCAATGTTACTATAATTGGGAAAGCAAAAAACTTGAATATAAACATCAAGAAAAACAATGATGTCAGTTTTAATGACCCTCCAAACAGTGATTCAGCAAGTTAGTTACTCACTAGGAAAATGTACTCATCTCGAAAAGAAGCAGGAATCTTAGGATTCCTTTAAACTAAGATTTCATTTGCTGATCCATGCAGTGGAAATCTGAATCCTTATTCTAAGCTTGCACAACTCAGCAAATTATAATAGCAGCTGATCTAAAAGAAAATCCAGTCTCTGAAGTCTTTTCACCTTGCTCTCAAAGGCACATTTCAAAGCAAGCGCTGCCATTACCTGTACAGAAGGCTCCTGCTGTCCCAGAAAGGATCATACCCACAGAGACCATCATCAGTATTATTCTGTGCCAACTCAGTCCTCTGACAAAAGATAATCTCTTCATCAAAGTGTTTTGTAAAAGCAAAGGGTTTTCTCTTGCCTGCACACAGCTTTACATGTTTCTAAATAGGTATGAATAGTAGACCAGAGCCTTCTGAGGTTCAATATTTTTCAGCCTCTTTAATTTAAAAAAGAATGCCCCAGCAAACTTTGATACAAAAAAAAAATCAATCTACCTAAATAATGCTTCTATTGCTAAAGGAAAAAAGACCTTATAGTTCTATGACTTTGAGAACAGGATATTAAAAAGTTGTTTTGGTAGCTCTCACCAAACAAGGCTTAGTTCAGTAACATTAATACAGGCAGATCTCAAAGATGTTATGAATTTGGTTCCAGACCACTGTAATAAAGCAGGTATCCCAATAAAGCGAGTCATAATCTTTTTGCTGGTGGAAAGTCTTGCCCTCCTTTAAAAAACAAAACAGCTGTGTAGTGCACTGAAGTGAAGTGTGATAAAACAAGGTCTGCCCAAAGTGAGAACATTAACAGATGAACAGACAGATGTCTGTACTTGATAAAATCCCACTACATTTGCTTATCAATGTGTTTAACAGGACAAGCATATTCATAAGTTATGATCATTGGAATTTCAATCTATTCCTACCCCCACAAACTTGGTTATGACACACAGGGTTATGTCAAAGTCCACTGTGATAACAGATGTAAAAGTCCTTTGAGAAGCACAGAAGAAATTCCAAATGCAAACTAGCATTAAGGAAGTTCGGATCTGTGTTCTTTAAGGTTTCATTAACTTGAACGCCTGAAGACTTCCTTCTGATCAGAGGTTAAAGAGTTCTACATATACCCCCAACAAGTTGCATTTGCTTCTCAAGTAGACTGACATATTACAAATGGCTGTTCCTAGCAACCTCCCACTGGAGAAAGTGCAGTGTGTACTAAGGTACCTGATAGAAGAGAGCTATGAAAACAGTAATCCTGTATGAGTGCCTCAGTTCAGTCCAATAAATACTAAAATTGAGCTTCTATTATGTGCTACATTACATATTATGCTAGATTCAAAACAAAACAAACCAAAAAACAAGCCTGCATAGATCTATGCTTCTTGAAGGCAGGGAATAAAAATATTTAGCTTTTATTATACAAACCGCCTACTTTATTATAAGGAAATGTTGCAATTGCACAATGGTTGTCACATTAGTCCTGGAGAAAGTATCAAACTAGGCCATCAATTCCCCATCCTTATGAGGAATTCTGAAAACAGGCTTGTTAAAATGTAAGGCAAATTTGTCTTGTGGACAGAGAGAGCATAATGGCCAATACTGTACAGCAGCTGTTAAATAGTTTCTACTACACAAGTATAATGGTGAACTACTTTGGTTTAAGTGACTGTCCTGTCCACAACATACTGATTTAAGAAATCACCTTCCCTTCCCCCAAAGAGGTGTTTGTTTTATCTTCCTTCACTAAGTGAGTCATTCAACCCCACATTCCCTCCCTCCACCAAGTTCAATGGTTATCATGGTTAATAGTTATAATGGTTATTAATGTCTATAATGGTTAACATTTCATTTACATAAATGAAGTGTTAATCTTCAGTGCAAATTAAAGTTGAAAAAGTTTATTTATGCAGAATTGCAGAAAAGGAAAACTGAAAAAAATTTCTGAGGATTATTCAAGGCAGTGGTTAAGAAAGTTTGTTCCGTAGTTTGGAGTGGAATCCTAGCTCCCCCAATAGCACTATCTACTTCTACCTCCATGGCTGTTGGGAGGATTAAATGACACAGGTGTTAAGGGCCAGTCAGTGCCTGGCACACAAAAAGCGTCCCCCAATGACAGGTACCTGCCATTAATATGCAAAGCAGGGGACCTGTCTCCAAATTGAAGTCTGTCTAAGGTTCCCATCTGGAGACACATCATCAGCAAGTTTTTAACCAACAAGCTACAGTTCAGAGTGGGGGGAAGAGGCAGAGGGAAAAGTGCCCTCAAGTCATTTCAAGGCTGGTGAACTGTGCCTAAGCAATTCTTCCCGCAACAGTCCAACAGGTCACTGAAGAAGCTGTATGCCGGTGGCAACGAAGAGACAGGGTTTAGACAGCGACTGTGACTCCTCGTTCTGTTCGTGCTCCCTTTAACTCCGGGGAAGTCACTTATTTGGTCGCTTTGCTGCCGCCTCCCCACTTTGCTCACTTGGAAAATGGGGCTAACAACAACAAAAGTTACCCTCCCGCCCCCACAGAGTTTATTGTGCGGATCGCATGTGTGCCGAGGGCTTGGCACAAGTCCTGCAGGGCGCACCGCTACCCACACCACCAGCGCAGATCCCATCCAGAGGAGCCTGGTGTTTAGAGCCTGGAGGAATGTGGGGACCAATGACCGGGAAGCGCGGCAGATGGTATCGGACGCAGAGCAAGCTGTCCACAAGCTAGTGGTGATGGTAACAACTGCGCAGCCGCCCGGGCCAGCGCAAAGCCTCCCGCGGAGGGATGGGCAGGTGCGGCCAGCCCCCACGCCAGGTGAGCCCGTCCCCCCCTGCACCTAGCGTCCTAGGGGTCGCAAGCAAACGCAACCCGTTATTCACAGCCCTAAGCCACACCAGCAGGCCGCCCACCACCTCACCTTGCTGGAGGTCCTGGTGGTCGTACCACGACTCATCCTCCTTCATCTCGAACTCCTCCACCAGGTTTTCAGCCAGCATCTCAGCCGGATCTCCCGGGGGCAGCGGCCCCCACCGCCTTCGTCCCTCTTCAGCCACTGGCCCAATCGCTCCGCCGGCCCCTCTGCCCTCCGCCACACTCGCCCTCGGGAGGGACCCTCCGCCACGTCGCCAGTCCAGAGCCGCCTGCCAGCTCGCCTCGAACCTCCCAACAGCCCAACGGACAGCAGTCAGACCAGACAGCCCCAACCGGCTCTCGAAGTCGTTGCCTGGAGCCGCAGCAGCACCCAACGTGGCACTTCTGCAGAGCCCTCCCCTACCGGGCCGCTATTCAAACCCCCGGCGATCCCTTGGCCAATCCAGAGCCGGCCGCCGGTCGAGCGGCAGCTAGGTAATCCAATCACATCTCACTTCGGGGCTGCGTGTCGCCCCGTTTCTAGGGCAAGCAGCCAATGAAAACTCTGGAGAAAATAAAAAAGGCGGGGAAAAGCGAAGGGCGAGGCCCCCCGAGGTCCCGCCCGCTTCTTCGCGTTTAGTTGTAAGAGCAAGCTGGATTGACCATCTTTGGAGTGGGCGCTTCCGCGGTGGTTGTCTAGCCTGGGGGACAGCCAGCCAACTGTCAAGCTTCGTGGGCAGGAAGGCGGGGATCCGTGGATCCAGATCGTGGCTATTGTCTTGGGGCGTCCGTCTGGCAGGCGGGAGCGCAGAGGGTGCCGGGAACCTGAGATCTTCCTCTCCGTTTAGGTCTTCTGGTCTTTTTGATTCCCAGATTCTCTCTCCTTGATGAGGGAAAGTTAAGGTGGGTCGGGAGTTTAGGGATGCTACACGTATTCTCCTTGACATCTGGGAATTGTACTCACGTTAAAACGGCGGGGCCCCGGACCTACTTGAGAACCTGGGGGCGGAGGGGATGCAGCAGAAACTATCCCTTTAGAAAAAAACTGTAAGCAACTTTGCATTAGGCTTTTAAAAGGTTCAGGGGCCCCAAGTTAAGCCTATGCAATCATGACATTGCACCTGGAGAGAAGAGAATGCAGTGCTCTCTTTTAGAGCAGAATGCCAACAAATATATGTAGAAGGAATAATGGTGTTAGAAGGTAATAATCATAATAAAAGCAGTATGGTAAACTCACAAATTCCTTTCTTCTGAATCTAGGTATCCTGAAAGGCAACTTATTACTAATCTACTTTTGCTAGGTTAAAAAAATAAAGGTAGGTCCCATATAAAGTCGTTGCTGCCCTATTGTCAATACTGTGGTAGAGATACTAGTCCAGAGCCAAAAAAATAAAAAATAAAAAATAAAACCATTTTAATTTCAAAGTTACTACAGATAAAACTCATTGGAAAGAGATGGTTGGATGCAGGATTTGCTGATGGTGGTTTGTGGAAGCTGAAGGGCTAGAATCATGAGTCTGATCTTCCAGGATTGAAAGTGCTGGCTTTTTCATCATGGCAAATAGCTCATTTTGACCCCAAATCAAAAGGGAAAGTGTATCGAAACATTCTTTTAACATTCTCTTTCAGAAAGAAACATCTGGAGAATGAAAATTATTGATAGTTTGAAAGACCAAAAAAAAAGTCACACTCCCTAGCAGGGTAGATCAGTTGTTTAGAGTGTGGTTCAATGCACCAAGGTTGCAGGTTACATCCCGGCTCAAGGCACAGAAGCAACCAATAAATGCATAAATAAATGTAACAACAAATAGATCTCTCTCTCAAAGCAATATATTTTTTAAAAAGCCATGCTTTCTGCCTTTTGATATTAGCGAGTTCTTTTTAAAGGATGCTTTTGAGGGAAAGTTTTGTTTGCTTTTTCCTGGAAAAGCTTGGACAAAAACTGCATTAAAAAAAGATGTTAACTTTCAATGCTAAAAGCCCTGCCTTGGAGGGGTCACCAACATTCTTTTGGAGTCTACTTAGTTATAGCCTACAAGTAGTCATGAGTAACCTCTTCAGCAACATAAATATTTGGTTCAGTAGTAGGTTAGTGAATGACAACCCTGATGGTATTTAGTGCCCCAGCCTAGCCTAATCATGACACCATTTTGCTACTTTTAAACTCTTTTGTGTCCCTGGCTTGTTAGCTCAGTTGGTTGGAACATCCTCCCATGCACCAAAATGTGGTGGGTTCAATGTCCTGTTAGGGCACATACCTAGGCTGTGGGTTCAGTCTCTGATCAGGGCATGTATGGAAGGTAATCCACTGATGTTTCTCTGTTGCTCCCTTCCTCTCTCTCTAAAATCAATAAAAATAGCTTCAAGTGAGGATTTTAAAACATAAACTCTTTGTAGTAAAAAGGAACCAGAAATCCTTTGTCCTTGGATGCAAAGATAAAATATTCTTGTTCTATGGTTTGTTGCTATGGTAAAATCAGGTAAGGGGAGTCTTTGGATAGCAGTGGTAGTTTAAAAAAATTGTAACTGGTGATTTTTAGTTAGATACTTACAGAAATAGGTATTTACTAGGATGACAATAATCCAAAGCAAAGTACTGATAGTTCTTTTGCAGGTTGAAATAGGAAGATTTTATTTCCTCCTCTCAACTATATAAACAAAGAGAAGTTCAGGTTGTAGAGTTTTGTAATATTATTATTTTTTAATATGTTTTATTGATTATGCCATTACAGTTGTACCATTTCCCCCCTTCATTCTCCTCCACCCTGCACACCCACTCCCCCCCATTTCCCCTTTTAGTTCATGTCCATACGTCACAAGTTCTTTAGATTCTATATTTCCCATACTATTCTTGCCCTCCCCCCTATCTATTTTCTATCTACTGTCTTTGCTACTTATTTTCTGTATCTTCTCCCCCTTCTCTCCTCCTCCCACTCCCCTGTTGCTAACCCTCCATGTGATCTCCATTTCTATGGCTCTGCACCTGATCTAGCTGTCCTCTTAGTTTGCTTTTGTTTTAGGTGTGGTTGTTAATAACTGTGAGTTTGCTGTCCTTTCACTGTTCATATTTTTTATCTTCTTTTTCTTATGTAAGTCCCTTTAACATTTCATATAATAAGGGCTTGGTGATGATGAACTCCTTTAACTTGACCTTATCTGGGAAGCACTTTATCTGCCCTTCCATTCTAAATGAAAGCTTTGCTGGACAGAGCAATCTTGGATGTGGGCCCTTGGCTTTCACAACTTGAATACTTCTTTCCAGCCCCTTCTTGCCTGCAAAGTCTCTTTTGAGAAATCAGCCGATGGTCTTATGGGAACTGTTTTGTAGGTAAGTCTCCTTTTCTCTTGCTTTTAAGATTCTCTCCTTATCTTTAATCTTGGGTAATGTAATTATGATGTGCCTTGCTGTGTGCTTCCTTGGGTCCAACTTTTTTAGGGCTCCTTGAGCTTCCTGGACTTCCTGGAAGTCTATTTCCTTTGCCAGATTGGGGAAGTTCTCCTTTATTATTTGTTCAAATAACTTTTGCACTTCTTGCTCTTCCTCTTCCTTTTCTGGTACCCCTATAATTCGGATGTTGGAATGTTTAAAGATGTCCTGGAGGTCTCTAAGCCTCTCATCATTTTTTAAAATTCTTGTTTCTTCATTCTTTTCTGGTTGGATGTTTCTTTCTTCCTTGTGTTCCACTCCATTGATCTGAGTCCCAGTTTTCTTCCCATCACTATTGGTTCCCTGTGCATTTTGCTTCATTTCACTTAGTGAAGCCTTCATATTTTCATCTAATTTGTGACCAAAGTCAACCAATTCTGTGAGCATCCTGATCACCAGTGCTTTGAACTGTGCATCTGATAGGTTGGCTATCTCTTGGTCACTTAGAACTATTGGCTCTGAGGCTTTGAGTTCTTCTTGAGCCATAATGTTTTGGTCTGTTTATGCTTGTTATGTTTGAGGTGTGGAGCCTTAGTTGTTCACCAGGGCAGGGCAACCCAGGTCACTGGGTTGTGATGCTGTATGTGGGGGCAGGGTCAGAGAGGGGCAATGGTGTTTTTTTCTGCACTCTCTTGGATTTCAGTCCCCCCTGCTGCTTCCCACAAGCAAATTGGGCCCTTCTGGTGCTAGTTCCCAGATGTGTGGGCTTTTGCACCCTCCAGAACCCTGTAGGTCTCTCCAACAAACTCTTTGGGAGCCTGGGAGACTCTCCTGGCACCTCGACCTCCGAAAGTTTTTCCAATTGGTGTTTTTAGGCTTTATTTCCCAGTCCTGGGGCCTTGGGTCATGCAGTCTGTCTCACAGCTCGCTCCTCTGCCTGGTTTATCTGCGCACAAATGTGTGACCATTGTCAGCCTGCCGCCTTGTGCCCTCACTTGGTCTGCCCATTGCCACCCCACACCTGGGATCTGCCAATTGCTTTTTCCTGAGCTACCCCACTCCATGACCCCGCTCCGCCAGCCGCTGACTCCACCCCTCTTACCGGTCGGGATGAATGGTTCGTTGTTGTCAGACTTTGGTAGAGTTTAATTTTCTTTCTGTTTTGGTTGCGTTCTGGTTTTTAAGTGTTTGTTGTTCATAAACTTGGTTGTGCAAGGAAGTACAGTGTTTCCACCTACACCTCCATCTTGGCCGGAATTTCTCGTAATGTTATTAAAACCTTATACTCACATGTTTTAGACACGATGGGTACTTAAATTCTTTTTTAAAAAATTGATCTCAACTTATGTTCCTTTACAAAATTCTGAGTATTAACACCTCTGCCTTCTGACTTAATGATAGATCAGTTGATAGGGTGTGGTGTGCTTCTTGTTTTAGCATGCCTAAAATGAAACTAAGAAAGAGTGTCTACATTTTGGTGGGCTAAATTTGTATCTTGGATTTTGTTCTTTTTTGATTTCCCTTCTTTTTAGCCCTCATAGTAATCCAGTAACCTCCGACCTCAATCTTTCTTCTCACTTATATATGTAACACCGAAGAGTGAGGTCTTCAGTAGTTAGCTTTTACAAATCTGAAAATTTATCTTGAAAGCAAAAAACGTTAGCTGATGTCCACATAATAGTATTAGTGTATGTCAAGTGTTGACACTGTTTAATGACAAAAAAACAATTAAGATTTGTATTTTCTCATTACTACAGAATCTGTAACCATTGTAAGAACATTAGCACACATATGGGCAAAATATTCATTCAGTCTGCAGAAAATACATAATTTGCATATGAGTTTTTTTTAAAGATTTTATTTATTTTCAGAGAGAGAAGGGAAGAGAAAAAAGAGAGAGAAGCATCTATCAGTTTCCTTTCATATACATCTCATCTGGGGACCGAAACCACAACCCAGGCATATGCCCTGACCAGGAATTGAAATGGGGAGCTTTTGCTTAATGGGACAATGCCTAACCAACTGAGCCACACTGGGTGGGTCTGCA